TCATTGTACTCAGGCCGTGTTTTGGTGACACTGGCTCCTCGTTTCAGCAACATCCATCATCTGCAACCACCCATCCACTTCATGAAAACGAGAAACCAGAAATGGCCTTAGTGCGGCCCATTGACCGCCGATGTCACTGATTGAGTGTTATAGGTACCCTCACTACCGGGAATGGGGCTAGCTGGTTAAATTTACCGCTGACACTAAGGTTAAAATAAACTAAGGGTCATGACACATCATGCTAAGGTATACGCGCACATTGGCATGCGCGAGTTGGAGAGGAGTATAGAATACTTAAAAACGGAAGGTTGTGTCTCGCAGATCGAGTAGGAGGAACTAGATCAATCGAGGGAAAACTGATCTGCGAACACAACTTGTGTTGGCAAATCGAGGGGGAAACGGATCTGCAAACAGATCTACAAATTTCACAACCCACCCCCACCCCCCCCAACCCCCCGCCCCCCCCCCCTCGTCCACACTCGAAATCGAGTAATCGGCGAGTACCAAGTACTTGTTCTCGCACGAGTACTCGTTTTTTCCCGAGTACTCGTTTTACCCTAAATTACTCGATACTCGATTTCGAAAACGAGTAGATAGCGAGTACTCGATCAAAAATGAGTAATACTCGACTCGCCTAAACCGAGTAATTTCTCGGAAACTGCAGACTCGTTACTCGCCCAAAACGAGTCACGAAAACGAGTCGAGTAAAATACTCGACTCGTTGCTCATGTCTAGGTGGACCTGTAGTAATATCTAAACCCTGCCGCCTACGACCTGGCCTGCTCTTGTTTGAGGTTGGGTCGAGTGTAATTTGAAACCGGGACGGGTTGACCTGACCTACGTTGGCACATATGCGTTTCTCGTATGATATGCAAAACGCATATACGTTAGTCGCTAGTGCTCCATACTAGAAATAAGTGAAAAAATGCAAGAGCAGGTAGAAACAACATATTTTTGGGCAGGTGGGAAAAAAACTGTTTGGGCAGTGGAGATGTGAGGTGAGAAACAAATATACGAACCTCCTGCATATTCTGCACATACAATCCCACTACCCTGCCCACTAGCTAACTATGTAGCTTTTCCGCCACCAACCCTTCCACACTGAATTATACTTGTTAGCCAGCAGTTCACCCTCCCCCTCCTCCCCATGCATGCCGTCCTCCTTCTAATCCACCCTGTACCATGGCGGAATAGGGGCATCCAGGATATTCCCGGACACAACCGCAGTGCCCCCATCCTTGTTGTGCCAGTTGCACACAACATTCCAGTTGTGCGCAACGTACACAAGGTCCCCACACTTTGGCGGACCCAAGTTAGTTGCGCCCAGTTACTCTCACATGAGGACGTGGAGGCCGGCTGAATGAGCACTTGGATCAAAATTGAGGTCACCGAAAACACTTTGCGACATCGCAAACTGTCGCAAATATGTTTCCAACTTTTTTATTTCACCACGGGCTGCCCCTGCGAAGATTCTCTCTACAACGGTCGGGAGCTAGACTACGGTGGGGTTGGCACGAGCACTACGAGTGATTGTAGCTTTCCTTAGCGTTCCTTAGCACTTGCTCATTCATGGGAAGAACTGGCAAGAGTTTCACTAGGGAAATTTCATTACAGAATGATTGATACAACAACGGCAAGAATGACTACATCAGATTTTAGCAACCTAGCAAGGCAGCTAGTCGACCGTCAGCTCAGCATGGTCGACCGCTTGCCAGCGTTGCTTAGAGGAGCTGCCCCAGAGCTGCAGAAACGAGGCTTGCCAACACAGCAGGTCGACGGCGTGCCAATGCTGCAGCCAAGCGGCTGTCTAGCATTGCACCCGTCGATGACAGCAGTGCGCACGCTCGCAGGTGCGCGCAGACGATTGGCCCGACATGCACCATCGCGCATCTGTCGGCTGTTGTCTGCGCCTGACGAGCCACATCGACTTCGGGATACCAGCCCGAAGTCGCCTTCGCCATCGCGGCCTCGACGTCATTCGCCGAGGTAACTTCGTCGACCGGGTCGACCACCCGGTGCCCTGGTCGACGACCTCCTTCGTTGACCACCACCCTTGTCGAGGACCACCCTGGTCGACGATCCCCTTCGTCGACCACCTTGGTCTACTACTGCCGCCGAGCTCACACCGTCGACGAAACCTCGACAGACTTGCGTATGTCGACAACCACCTTCGTCGACCTCCCCGTCGAAATCGACCGCCGGCTCTCGCCGACGGCGGCATTGCAGCGCTCGCTTGCAGGTCGACAACCCCGTCGACCAACACGCGTCGAACCTTGCATAAAAGTCGACCGCACCACCCGCGCGTCCGACCAAGAAGTCATTGTCGCCCAAGCGAGGGCGGGGCCAACAACCCACTCCCGTTAACACTCCCCTGCCGCGCTCACGCTTGGGCCTCCAGCTCCCACGGCAGATCCACTTGGAGAAGACTCGTCGTCGGCGTGCACCCCACACACAGCACGCCGTCACCGCACCAGCCATGCAAAAGGGCATGGCACCTACTGCTGCACGTCGTCGTCACCGTCGCCGACGTCGGCCAGGCGCACTTGGCCGATTGCGACGGAGCACCGGTTGAAGGCCGGAAAGTGCAGCGCCTTCGTCAGGAAGTCGGCCGGCTGCTTGGTGGTCGAGATGTACTTCAACACGAACTTCCCACACTTCACCATCTGCTGCAACCAGGCGTAGCGTCGCAGCGACGCTCCATGTGCTTGAGGTTGCCCTTCAGCCCCAAGCCCTCAGCGACCGTGATGGCCCACTTGTTGTCCCCCCGAAGGACGGTTGGCGTCCCAGCGTCGAGCAGCTGGAACTCTGCAAGAAGAAAGCGTAGTCGGCGCCCCTTCTTCCCGACTTCCGCGACCGCCACGTACTCCGACTCGGTCGAGGAGAGCGTCGCACACTTGATGCGCTGGCTCGACTAGGAGGCAGCGGCCCCTCCGAAGACGAACACGTAGCCGCCCGTGCTCGTCCGGTTCTGCTTGTCGCCGGCGTCGTCAGCGTCCACGTAGCCGACTAACGTCAGCGACTATGGTCCACTGCTGAACTCCTGAGCGGTGTCGCGGGTGTCGGCGAGGTAGGCGAGGCAGCGGTCGACCTCGCGCCAGTGCTGGTCGCTCCTCACCGTGAGGCCACTCCCCAGCTTGCTGCAGGCGAAGGCGATGTCCGGCCTCGTCGTCGTCGTCGCGAACTGCAGCGGGCCGACCTTTTGACCACAACTTCCTAGCCGGCCTGTCGCGAACGATTTCCAGCCCAAGGTACCTCTCGACCGGGCTGATCTCGCGCAGCTCAAAGGCAGCCTCCAGCAGCTCCTTCAGCTCCTTCAGCATTGCGGTGCTGCTGCTGCTGGCGACGAGCAGGTCATCGACATAGACGAGCACTCAGCACGTCACACCGTTGTCGCCGACCTTGAAGTACGGCGCATCATCGACCTGGCTCTTCTTCTAGTCTGCGCCAGTCAGCACGTCTTCGAGCGCCTTGTACCACAACAGCGGCGACTGCTTCAGCCCGTACAGACTCTTCAGCAGCTTGCACACCCGGCAGGTCCCATCGTCATAGTACTCCGGCTGGTACATGTAAAGCACCTTGTCGAGCTTGCTCTGCAGGAAGGCGTTCTTCATGTCGAGCTGCATTAGGTTGAGGTCGAGAACGGCGACGATGCTGAGGAAGATCCTCAGCGTGACGTAGCTGCTAACCGGCAGTACGTCTCGTCGTAGTCGGCGCCATACACCTGCGTGAAGCCCTTCATGACCAGCCTCGCCTTCTCCCGGGCGACCGTGTCGTCGACGAGGTACTTGGTCATCAGGACCCATGATATTTACCCCGCCCAAGCGTCTGACCAGCTCCCACATGCCCATGCCGATGAGGCTGCGGATCTCCTCGTCCATGGCGGCCTTCACCGCCTTGCCCTTCCAGCTCGCCAACGCCTCCTTCACCGTCATCGTCGCGATGTCCCAGTGGTGGTCGGGGTCGGCGTGTACGTCGGGATCGAGCTCAGGCAAATCGACGTCGGCCTCAGCACCGTCGAGCAGCGTGGTGAAGGCGGCTGGTGGCAGACAGGCGTGAAAAATCAGCCGCTCCGGTGGCTTCCAACTTCGGCCTGAGCGTCGCAGTTCTGGCTTCTCGACCGGAACCTCCACCGCATCGTTGTCGGTAGACTCCTCCCCTGCCGACAGCTCCCCTTCATCGTCGACATCCTCCTCGTCGACGAGCTGTTGACCTTTCGACCGACTGCTCCCCCTCGTCGGCCTGCTGGTTGACTCCTCTTTCGTCGACAGCTCCCCTGTCGACTTCCTCGTCTGCTACTCCCCTGTCGGCGGCACATCTGCTGCCTCCTTCTGCACCTGCTCCCCTGTCTGCTTCTCCCTTGTCGTCGACGGCTGCACATTCACGTCGACAAGCTCGGTCGCACGTCGACCGCCGGCGATGCCACTGGCCGGCGCCACAGGCGACGCCTCAAGGCTCCCCTCATCGCCGGTGGTCGACAGCGGTGTCGACACAAGCAGATCGGCGACAAGGGGCGGAGCAACTGGAACAAGGGGAGGAGGAGAGGGTGGGTCTTCTTCGACATCCTCGTCAGCAGGTTCGTCGACCTCGGCGAGCAGCGGGAACGTCGCCGTCCAGGTGTCCGTCGGTGGGTGAGCCTGCGTCCGCCCCGACGCCGGCCCATACTTCACCTATCACACCTCCAGCGACATCGTTTCGTAGAAAATGACCTCGACCGACGTGACCACCTTGTTGTCGGTCGAATCGAGCCACCTTGTTGTTGAAGTCCCCAGCGAGCTTTTGGCGCCAGCTTCCCACCGCGCTGCTACTCGGGGACCATGCACTGCACCATGCAGCCCCATACCCGCGCCAGCGTGAGATCGGACTTCTTGCCAGTCAGTAGCTGGTACAGCGTCGTCCCCGGCGGCGTCGTCGACCGCTCCAAGCAGTTGCGCACCCAGACAGCCTGCCATAGAGCAAGGCGCCACTAGTGGTGCTGCACGCCCATGTGCAGGAGCATCGTCCTAGTCGGACTCGACGACCGTGCGCATCTCCCACTCAGCCATGCCGTTCTGGTGCGGAGTGTACGGGCAAGACAGGTCGTGGACGATGCCCTTCCCATCGACGAAGTTGGTGAACGCCTTCCTGAGACATTCGCCGCCGCGATCAGAGCGGAGCATCAGCACCGACTTCTTCGTCTGCCGCTCCACCAGCACCAGCACCAGCCACTTCTCGAACTCCCGCAGCACGTCGCTCTTCTTAGCGGCCGGCTTCACACACACGAATTAGTGTGACGGTCCTTCAGCAGGAGAAAGTACAAGTTGGCGTCCTTGGCAGCAACCCGGAATGGCCCGCAAAAGTCAATGTGCACGACAGCCAACGCATCATCGGCGTCCAAGCACTTGTCAGGAAAGGTGTGTCGCGCCAGCTTCCCGCCGACGCACGAGACACACGGTAAGTCAGCTCCGGTCGACGGCTTCATGTTGAGGCCGGTAGCAAAGTCGCGCTTCGCCGAGCTCTTGATCGTATTGACGCCGACGTGCGCAAGCCTCGCGTGCCACCGGGCGGGGGTTGACTTCGTCGCTGAGGCGATCGTCCGCAGAGCCACCACCTCGGTCGACGGCGGCCACGTCGAATAGGGGCGAAGGTCGGTGCAGATGACACAGCCAGTGTAGCGTGCTCGACCGAGTAACTTCCCTGCACTCGACACGAGCTGCATCTCGTCGCCGACGTCTTGCAGCTTCACACCACTCTCCTGCAGCTGACCGGCTGATAGCAGGTTTGCCTGCGCGCCCGGAACGTAGAGCACGTCGGGGATGAGGACCTGCTTCCCGGCCTCCCCTTGCAGAGCGACTGTGCTGCGGCCCTCATCCGTCTGCAGAGCCCCGTTGAAGCCATGCACATGCTTCACGTCGCCACTCGGGGCCATATTGACGAAGACCTCCTTCGTCCCCATCAGGTGGTGTGAGCAACCACTGCAGCACCACTAGCGGATTTGCCTGCACAACGGCCGCGACCGCCTGGAAGTCCTCGCCGGCCTCCGGCACCAGCGACACTTTCGGCTCCACCACGCCGACCATCGAGCATGACGCTTCCCCATTGCCTCAAACCTTGCCGCTGGAGGAGTCGACGTCCTTCGTCGACGACGTCTTCTTTGACGCCTGCTTCTCCTTGCGCGGTTTCTCATCCCGGCGGGGGTGACGACTGGCCTACCGACCGCGGCCTCCTTTGTTGTCGTCCTCGTCGCTGTCTTCGCGGTTGGGACACTCGAAGGAAAGGTGGTCGGGGTCGTCGCATATCCAACACTCCCGCTGTCAACCACCACCGGTTCGACCGCTGTCCCTACCCGACTTCTTCTGGTCGGCGTCCTTCGCCGACCTCCCACCTCCGCTACCACCTCCGCCGTGCTTCCCACGCTGCCCCTGCTGTCGACTCTACTTCGTCGGGGCGGCGTAGCTCGCCTGCGGAAGGAGCTCCGTGGGACGCTCTGCCTCCTGCATCGCCTCATCTCGAATGATGAAGCTGGTGAGGTTGTTACGGGAGCGAAGCGAATCCAAAAATGTACATGTTTCAGTCGAACACCTTCTGAGCGCGTTATGGGAGCGAAGCGAATCAAAAAGATTCATCAGTTTTCCGAAAAAAAAGATGTTCATGTGTTCGCCTTTGCAGGCGAACACTCAAGTGTTTGCCTCGAACACAAACACGTTTGAGATAAACATGTTTGTGCTCGCCATAGTGGGTGGGTGTATTTTGCTAAAGCCACACTACAGGCAACCTTGAATCTTGAGTCACACTACAGAGACAATACATGTGACACTCATTTCAAGCACGAACGTGTTTTTGTCCAACGCGGCTCGGCACTCACAGTCGGACTGAACACAAAAATGTTTGGGTCAAACAGCTATGCGTTCGACGCGAACACATTTAGCGAACAAAATCACATGTTATGTTCGTTTTGACACGAACATGTTTGAGTCGGACCGAACAGGCGTTTGACCATATGCTCAAGCCTTTTTTGCTACTCCATATATTCGGAGGTGTATATCCGGAAAATACCCCCTCCCCCCCCACCCCCAACCAACTCCCCCATCACAAGGGCGTATCTGCCAACATACGACCCGACCCTAACTCAAGTAAAAATGAACTGATGGCAGATATGTGGAATTTGGCTGTTGTTTATCGAGTAAAAAAATCTGTTTTTGTGTCTTTCTTTCTTCAACCTGATTAACATTTCCCACTTGCAACGAAACAAACACAATCGAACAACTGTTTAGTCAAACCGAACATGTTTGGTTTGAATCAAACAATTTCTAACAGACGGTTCTTTCAAAAGGCAAAGTGGGCGGATTGCATATAGTCCTTACAGGGTTACCAGCTTTGTCAGCAAGCCAATGCCAGCGGGGATGGAGCTGGTGAGCTGGTTGCTCGCGAGAGAGCTGTCCGACACAGTGAGACGAGGGACATGTGGGGGCTGTGACAAAGGAGATGCACAAATCGGTAAGAAGGAAGGTAAGACGCTGATATTCGCATGAGACTAGAGATGAGGAAGGATCAAACGGTTTTGACCAGCTTGAACGTCACCAGCGTGATCGCCAATTGAGGTCGGGTTTCAGTGAACCATTGGCGGTTCGTCACAGGCTAGCCCGAGTTCGGCCTGAACCACATTCGCTGTATCACATTTTCCAGGATTTTGTTTTCATGTCAACAATGTGTTTCAGTGCCTAAATCAAAATAAGATTATGTCGTAGAAAACACAGAGAATGATCATCGTTAGAAAGGTTTCCAGCTTTAATTGTGCCGGTCCTGCCCTGGCTCGGCCCTTGCTCGTGCCTAACTAGTGGTACTACAAAAAACTCCACACTCTGAAATGGTTTTCGACTAAGGAAGAGAATACAACGGATCTTTATTCAGTATGATATTCTCTGCAGGTCCATCAGCACCTTTGGAAACTTGGAACCAAATTACAAGTAAGTGAGAGCAGTGAGCTTCGTGATCGAGGAGGGCACAGATCCAGACAGCATGTTGGAGTTGAGAGAGCTGTTGGTGATGTGGTGGTTGGACGCACCGGAAGAAAGGATTCAAGTCCATTGGTGTGTTTGCAGGACAGGATAGAAAGGGAAATGGACGGAGTCAGAGAAACGAAATATAGAGGTAAAGGAGGGATAGTAGGGAGTACACGGTAGCATAAGTGTGAGTAGACGGATGAGCTTGTCGAATCGACTCGTCAGCACGGCGAGGTGAGCCAATTATCCTGCACCGCCGGCTCGGGGGCTGGCTCGCCGAGCCGGGCTAATCAGACACCCGGAAGTCAGGTCGTCGAGTAGTCTGCTCGTCGGTTCAATGAGTAGTCTGATCATCGCCGATCCTTGACTGGCTTGACGGACGAGCCACCTTAGGGATGAGCAATATGACGAACTCCTGTTCGGTTCGCTTCGAACACGTTCGAGGCAAACCGAACAGGTTTTTTTTTTGCCTAAATTGTTCGGGGCGAACGTGTTCGGTGTTCGCCCAAACACGTTCGCCGTTCGCCCGGCTCAGCTGGCCGAGGCGCGTCGAACACGAACATGTTCGTGTTCGACACGGGCCTTCGACGAACACCAATGTGCTCGTTGACGAATAGGCCCGCGACCAATTTCTAGGTCGCGGGCCTTGGTGTTTGGGCTCAGATCTGGCGTTTCGCAGTTAGTTAAGTGCAGATCTAGCATTTCGCCGTTGCTTAAGTGCAGATCTAGCATTTTGCAGTTGCTTAAGTGCAGATCTAGCATTTCGCCGTTGCTTAAGTGCGGATCGAGCATTTCGTCGTTGCTTAAGTGCAGATCTAGCATTTCGCCGTTGCTTAAGTGCGGATCGAGCATTTCGCCGTTGCTTAAGTGCGGATCGAGCATTTCGTCGTTCCTTAACTGCGGATCTCGTATTTCGCCGTTGCTTAAGTGCGGATCGAGCATTTCGCTGTTGCTTAAGTGCGGATCGAGCATTTCGCCGTTGCTTGGGTGCAGATCTAGCATTTCGCCGTTGCTTAAATGCCGATCTAGCATTTCGTCGTCACACGCTGGCACTAGCATGGATGAAGCAGGGCGGGACTGGCTTGGGGGGTAGGGGGAGGGAATGTGCAACAATTTGAATTTTACTCTTTTTGGACCTTACAGCCACCTAACAAATGTCAACAATACACAATCCACAAACGTGTGACTTTAGTGAATGTAGTCCCAGGGCGAACACGAACGTGTTTGCCACGAACACGTTCGTGCTCGCCTGCATCAGCATGGTGTTCGCCTTCACAGGCGAACGGTGAACACCCCTTTTTGGTAAAGCTGTTCGGCGAACCGAACAGTGTTCGTGCAGGGGCGAACGCGAACATGTTCGTGTTCGCGTCTTGCTCATCCCTAAGCCACCCGCCGAGTCAAGTGGAGTGGAATCTTTAGCCAGCTTGTCAGCCTTTTTATCTAGGCTCAAGACGAGCCAGCTCGGCCCAGACTTATAGGGATGACAGAGATAGTAGAGATCCAATTTCCACAGGGATTGAACCCGTGAGCTGATTATTCCTGAGGGACCTGCCATTGCGTACAAATTCAAGCACGAAGAACCAGACCAGCAGGTGGGGTTTTACTGAGGGTAAGCACACGGTCATTTACCCGTGTCAGACGGAGGAAGGAGGAATGTGTCCATCACGACGAGACTTAGGAATATGCAGCCTTATGAGGAGGGGAATGCTGGTTTTCATTATGAAAATGCTCACAACGTGATCATGCTGGTCAGTGAGCCAATGCCAGCCGGGATAGCACCAATGAGCGTATTGTTGAAGAGCCACCTGCACGGCCGGATAGAGAGAGGGATTATGTGCGTATGAGCGTGCGGGCATGCGTGCGTGCGTAAGCACGGACATGGAGAGAGTGGACCAGAATGGAACAAAAGACGTGACAGGGCCTTGAGCGGTGTGCATCACACTCACAGCTGTTTCAGCAGGCTGAGCGCAGTCACGGTGCAGGGATGCTGCCTGACAGCTGGTTGCTTGCGAGATCGCTGTGAGGACACGATGACGGTAGCAAAGAGGGCAGGCTGAGTGGTTGAGAAAACCACAAGGGAGAAGATTACTGTAGCTATAGCTTAATCCAAGCAGCCTGCCTACCTTTTCAACCAGACTGGCCCGGCCATCGCCGAGCCTTTGCCATGAGCCTGAGCATGGGCCCGAGCTGAGCCAGCTTGGCTTGAGCTGGGGTAGGCTTGCCATTTTCCTGAGTTGAGCCAAGTCGGCTCAACTGTCAACACGAGCCGAGCTGACTTTTGCTCGGCTCAAAAATGGGCCATTCCGGTTGAGCTAGGAGCTGGTCAAGCCGACTACACGCTACCCAGCCTCAAGCCGTCTGGCACAAGCCTCTAGTGGCAAATAATGGGTTCTTCTCGAGTACTAGACATGAGAAAATGGGTGAACCTCTGTTCGGTTCGACTCGAAAATGTTCAGCCGAACATCTAAGTGTTTGGGGCGAACATGTTCGAGTGTTCGATCGCTGTTGACGAGGCACGTCGAAAACGAAAGATGTTCAAGTGTTCGACATGTCCAGGTCGAGGATGAAGCTCAAAGGCACTGGAGGGGGAGGGGCTCGAGGAGCAGGACCTGGAGGGGGCTGTGGAGGGGGCTGTGGAGGGGGGAGGAGGACTGCGCGAACCAAACACGTTCGTGTTCGGGGCGAACAGTTACCAGTTCGCCCCCATGGGCGAACATCGAACACCACTTTTAGGAAAAAGTGTTCGGTTCGAGTTCGCGGGGTGTTCGAGAGTGTTTGAAAGGAACACGTTCGAATTCGATCGTTACTCATGTCATGTCTATCGAGTACTACTCGATAAAGCAAAATAATGGTTGATACTCAAGGGATTGAAGTAATCAAGCTTTTGGAAAAGCATGGTGCTGTGGAGAAGTATGGGCCTTGCGAGGGGAGGATCAGAAAGTAATCAACAAAC